CCCGAGGCCACTACCAGCTGGTACTTGCTGTGGAATGAAAGAAAAAAAGGAAAAGGATTTTGTGCTCATGTCTATACGTCTATTCCCCCTCGTCATCCACAATTCCCTTCTCCGTCCCCCTGGACATGTTCGAAAAGTCGGATAATTAGCGCAGTGCGTTGGAGATCTCCACGACTAGTTTCTCGCCCTCCTTGCCCACAACTTTCAGAGATTCAAGATCCTTCACTACCCAATCCGGTCCGGCGCTGACGACCTGTTCCAAGGTGTGACTTGTCACGAGCCCCACGACTTTGCACCCGGCAGCCTTGCCCGCTCTGATGCCTGCCGGACTGTCCTCCAATACCAGTACCTGCTTGCCATCGGCCTCCAAGCCTATTCGCTCACGGCCGAGAAGATAGCACGTGGGATCTGGCTTGCCATTTTCCACAGACTCGGCCGTGACCAGGTGGTCTGGGATGGCCATGGCGAGGACCTTGAGCCACCCCGTAACTAAGGGTACGGTGCCAGAGGTGACGATTGTCCAGGGGATAGCACTGGAGACGACGGACTCGAGAAGAGAACGTGCTCCTGGAATTTCAACTGCTTCGTCTGCGTAGTCCCTTGGGAGACGTCCTTCCAGATCTCTAACATCTAGACAAGGAGTGTGATTAATTAAGTGACAACGTGACAACGTAATTTGAAAACCAGCCCGTTGATGTTAGGTTCCATGTCGAGCTTCTTCACTTACATTCCATTGATGCTTTCTCGGGTGCCAAGAGCCTCAATATATCTATACTGCGACGCCCATGAGAGGTTTCCAGAATGACCTTGGGATCAACATTGATCTCTTTGCCAATTCTGCGATATGTTAGCGAACAGACTTCGTATTAATACAGTTCCAATGGCCAAACAGACGTATGCCAGTGCTTTTCCACGGCTGAGGTTGAGTCGATGATCGTTCCGTCCATATCAAAAAGGAAGCCATCAAAGGCGACCCGCTGAGGGGGTAAGCTGTAGTCCGGCTCAGGTGCCATTTTCGTGTCTATGCTTTAATGCTATGAGGGCTTTTTTTCCTCTTCCAGTTTGAGGGTCTTTTCTTAGTAGTAGAAATTGGTACTTATAGCAAGTGAGTGCTTGTTCATGAAAGAATTGAGGATTGAAATACGAAGGATGAGACGCAATTCGAGGTTGTCAAACCCCCACTAGGAAGCTCCGCTCGGTGCCTCTTGCTGCGGGACATCCTGAATTGGTTAGCAAGCTGAGTGACGTTGAGAGACCGTTGAAGAGATTGTTGCTAATCATTCGGTAGTAACAACAACACTCAATTGTACATGCAAATAGAACCTAAAGCTAACGAGCATATACACGGTAAGGTTTTAGCAAGCGCGTTGCAACACGAGGTGAAGAATGAATCAAATAGCGGACACTTGTACTGATTCGATGCTGAAATGCCCCTCTCTGCCGGGTAGGTAAAGTCGAGAGCGCGTCGGATCCGTCGACGTCACTGGATTGCCCAGCACGCGTTTTTAAGGCGCCTCGAGGTACTTGGGACGGCAACTACACACACGCGCCCTGACAGGTCATTTGCCTACCACTCTAATACCCTCCCTACGGAACCTTCCTTCAACCCACCAGGCTAACGTCCAACCAACATATTACTGTATATTATACATACAAAACAAAGATTGTTTCTTACCTTAATTACGAATGGTTTGATCAAAGAGAAATGTTTTTTTGACTTATGAAGTCTCTTTCTCCGAGATGCAGCCGTTGCCCATGTCTGATGCAGACGCGTCCTCGCGTCTGCGTTCTGGCATCATGACGCCCAGCTCCGAGGGAAGCCTCCAACACAATGGCCATTCCTCTGCGACACCAGATAGCCGGAAGCGAAAACGGGAGAGATCATTGGCGACAGATCACCTCTTAAGACCACCAATTGACCTCAAGGTTTGTTTACAAAGTTACGTTGAGAGCTCTATCAAGGTTGTAACTAATACGTATCAAGCCCTACCCTCCGAACCTTCACGTCCCACCACGCACTCTGCACCCTTTAATGCTTCTTCCGCGCCAATATGTACCTCTCGGCTCTTTCGATTTTCTCGCACCATATGGCGACTTACCACAGAGCCGCTTTTTTGAATCGCGAATCAAGATCCTGGATCTGGAAAGTCGGATGGGAACTAGGCCAAGCTTGCTACTTGCCAGGAGCGAGCCTAGGGGGACAATATATGCAGTTGAAAGGCAACAGAACGGCCTCTATTCCGTCTGCAAGCTGGGATCCTGGGTTAGTATCGACCAGCTTGCGGAACATGCCACCGCGATCGCCACGGAACGAATACGGGTACCGAAGGCAGAACCGATTGAACCGAGCGCACCGCTGCCACTAACAACGCCACAAACGCACAAAGATGAGAAACAGAAGAACAAAGCAATCGAGGCCATTCAATCACTTGTCAGGAAACGGTCTCACTCACAGTCTTTGTCGATTTCAGAAGGAGTCGTGGTTAAACCTGATCCGGCTTTGACGGCCTCTGTGTATGGATCTATGAACGATGTGAAACCTCTAGAGAAGGTAGAAGATGTACCTAGGGATGATCCTTCCAAGGAAGCTGTGGGTGTTGCTTCCGGAGACCACCAGGAACAGGTCACTCCTGAGGGGATATTTGAGAATATCCGTTCTCAGTATTCCGAAACCCTGTATAAATCAAAGGTAACTGGGCCCTGTCTGGCTATGAAGCTGTCGCCCGGAGCAATTTGTTTCTGACATTTGGTTTTCTAGGGCTCACTCGCCTATTTTGCTAAAGGGTCTCTCTCACGAGCGCGTTCGGCATTCCTCGTGGATCTTGAATCAAATCTCGACATGGAAGAGCTGATTGCCTTCCTGAAGAATATGGTTCTCACAACCGTCCAGATCGACAAGAAATTCCGGGAAACGATACCTGACATTATGTCGAAAATGAATACGGTGATAGAAAGTTCCGATGACGGCCAGAAGCGGCGGCGCCGACCCAAGAAGATGAAACTCAGCAAAGAGGGACTGTATCCTCTAGAAGATGAAAGCATCCGCGCTTGGTGGGCATCGAGTAAACCTGAGTTGGAGGATGATAAATCAAACGATACCATGTCCCAGATTAAGTTTCACGCGTCACTGTTACGCACCAGGGAGACTCAGCTTCAAATGATTCTGATCATGGAAATTCTGGCATTAGAATCCGTCAAGGAAACCACCCAGACAACTGAAAGCAATAGCTTGCCAATGTTGCCTGGAGCCATTGGCAACCCCGTTGGATCTTCGACACCGCCCATGGCACCTCCCAAAAAACGGAACAAGCACAATCTATCTGTGCTTATTGATGTTCACGCCGATAGGTTGACTATCTGGCAATCGACCGCCTCCGAAGAACAGCTTCTGTTTGAAGATTCACAGCAATCGACGCCTCAGAGTCAAACGCCGAATTCAAAATCCTCGCAGGAGCCACTCCGGGACTTTTGCGTCGATGTTATTATGCCATTGTACGTTTATTCTAAACCCCACACATTGTTGCTCACGGTTCTGACATTCTATTAGCTACATGGCGCGCCTCCCTCAACTATGCGATTCTCTGAACAGAAAGCTTGGTGGCCCACTGACAATGTCGCAATCGAAGCCCAGATCGCTAAAGAGGCACTCGAGTAAGCAGGAACTAAAACCTGGGGCCGTAGCAAAGCGGACAGCTCGTCACAAGGAGCCTAGAACTTTGGAGCGCGCGCTATCTTACGATCAGCAACGCCGCAGCATGTCTCGCGGGCCCAGTAGTGCGCTTGCGCTCATGCGATCGGCTACATCAGCTGCCATCCCAACGCTGAAAAAGGAAGAGAGCGACTTGGGGAACTCCGGACTTGCGAGTCAATCTCGACCTAGGACAAGCTCTCTGGTACGCAGTACGAGTATGGTCGATCTGCAGGACGCCAAAGCGAATAAGAAGGCGAGAGTCGAGGCAGCGTTGAAGGACGCCATTTCCAGTATCAGAAAACCGGATCGGAATGTTGTTGGTAAGGCCATGCAGGAAGAAGCCGAGCGGAAAATATCGACTGTGAATTCAGCGAAGAGTGAGTAGCACATGAACCCCGGAAACTACCTACTATCGGCTCTTATGCTAACTGCTCTAGAATCTCGGAGGACACTTTGGCCCTCATCTTCGAGTGTACAGGTCAAGGCAACACCGGCGAACAATCGCTTTAGGGATGTACTTGGTACGAAAAAGCCAGACACGTCTGCTGCTAACATACCAATCCCTTCCACGGAGATTATTCCACCTTCGAGCGTTGGAGGTGTAGGCTCGTCCACAGGGGAGCGCACTGTACTACGAAACACGACAGGTAATCGGGGCCTGCTATCTGTTGATATTAGCTGTACCCCAACCAAGGGGTACTCTAGACAGAGGAACAGCAATGAGCAACCGGAAATCCCGCCTTCGTCGCCTCTCTTCGATAGGCATGCGGCCTTGGGGGCGTCGCCAGATGTGCGACATGCTAGAAATGAGCCGATGAGAAAGCTGAGCTTCGACACCTCTTATGACGATGTGCTGTTTGCAACTCCTGTTAAGAGACAAGCTGCCCAGAAGCCAGCTCAGCAGTACAACGAAATGGAACCAGCCGCAGAACAACGGGCGGACAAGTCCATATATGACAGGCTTGGCTGGGATGATGACTTGGATGACTTCTAATAAGTAACGTGCATCATGTCTTGGTTTGATAAAATGGCGTTTTTGTTTGGCATTTAAGAAGGGAAAGGTAATTGCATTTTAGTTTAAAGGCGTATTGGCAAGAGAGCGTTGCATGGTAGACTGGTATTGTCTTACGGCGTTACGTTCGTTATTATAATTGCTGCTGCAACTAGCGATCAAGAAGCAGTATTCACACAATCTCTTCATCAATATAAATATATATTTACATGTCATCCCCAGCTATCAGATATTGGCCGTGATATATGATCAAACGCCTACTTTTCAAACGACTAATTCAATACTGTATTTACGTCTCTAGGCGGCCGCGGGCTCCACGACCATGGTTGGCAGGTCTCGGACATCAACGTGCTCCTGAGTACTCATGTCCACAACCCGAATAGCCTCGATGCCGATTATGCCTTCTTTGAGGGCCAGGAATTGGAGCTCAACCACATGGCAGGCTCCGGGAGCCAGCGGGCCAACGCGCGTGTCGGCGCTCAAGCAGGCGACCTCTGCCGTACCGACGGCAGCATTCTTCTGCATGGCGTGGAGGACATTGTCGTCCAGGGCCGCGTCGGCGATGTCCCGCTCGGCGTGCCTCTTCTTGCTGGAGGAGACGGGCCGCACGCTCCGCACCTCCTGCCGCTGGCGCTTGGGCAGGGAGACGAGGGCGAGCTTGCGCGGGTGCTGGTTCTTCTGCTCGCTGGGGCGGTTCACGACGTAGACGGTCCAGCAGAAGATGTCCCCCAGGCGCACGGGCTCGGACGGCGCGCTGAAGGACATGGTTATCCCCAGCTCGGGGAGCGCGGTCTCCGTGCGGGACGTGGCTGCTTCCAGTGTGGGAAGGGCGTCTGGGCGGAGGATGACGGGTGATTTTAGCGGGGTGCCGACCTGGCCGCTGCTGATAGAGAGCTGGGACGGCCGGTGGGATCGCTGGATGGTGAGGCTGGGGCCTGGTGTTGCCCCGAAGCCGGGGTTGACTGGGAGGGTGAAGTCGATCGGGGTGGACCAGTTCATTGTTAGTTGCGGCGTGCATACGTCGGGTATGAGCTGGGCTGTGGCGACGATGGAGATCTTGAGCTCTCGAGTATGGTTTGAGTGATTGAGATCGTATTGCCGAGGAATGACGTGATAAAGAAAGGTGATATGATCGTGGGCGACACATCTCAAAGGTGGTTGCATCAGGGCATCGTCATTGAGACACTGCACCTCACCACCAGGGACTGACAGCTCGATCTTGTTAAGAAGAAACTCGCTTTCAAAGTAAGAAGTAAAGTCGACTTCAAGGATGGCAATGACAGCGGAGCTCACAGGCTCGGTATTGGGTCGAGAGAATCGTATTCTACTGTTGATAGCAGGGAATATCTGAAACTTGAGTTGGGGAAGGGTTCGGATGCGCTGCTCGACACCCTCTTGCTGTGTCAAGGGAACCACACGAGAGACTCGCAGAGCGGACAGCCTTGGCTTGACGTCCTTAAGAGAAGGGTCATGGGTGAACGACTCGAGAAGGTTGAGCCCAGATGGAACCCCGCTAGGAAGATAGCGCTGGCCGTTGGGTGCGAGGTCGGTAGATTCATCTGGTTTGAGACCGGCAGATGCTGTGAAGATGATTGTGGGCGACTGCAATCGCATGCGCGGCCGCGGCAGTAAGACGGGGAGTTTCCAGATGGCATAGATGCACTGATGGGTCTCGCCCTCGGAATCACCAGCCTCCTCCTCATCTACAATGATGAACGGATCGGCGACATCTGGAACCGATCCCTTGAAGATGAGTTCCGTTACTGGTGGACTTGGGCCGTCGGGGACGCTGCCATTGACGATATGTGCCTCTATCGATATCGCCAGCCTCTCAAGGCGAGAGCGTAGCACTGTTTCCTCTTGCCAAGGTGCCTTGAGAACGAGCAAAAGCTCCACAGTCTCATCTGATGACTCGTTAGAAGAGGAGAGCATGTTAGTGCCAGGGGGAACAGACCGAAGAAGAGAGTCTCTCTGGTTTTGAAGGACTCGATAATAGGTTGCCCCGGTTCGACGTCCTTGAACAGTTCGTCCAAGTCGGTGTCTGTAACCGCCGGAACTAAGTAAGACAAGTAACACTTCTCTGCAAAGCTCACGGCGGGATCGTGCATGGCCACGAGGTCGGCCGCCATTGTGAGAGGCTCTGTTCCGTGTTTATACGCACGCAACTCGTCCCTCTGTTTCCAATTTCAATATATCTGGCATCACACTCGATTAATTGGCGAGAGGAGATCTCTATTTCATGGAGAACAGACCTTCGCCTTACTCCAGTCAGCCACCTTTTGCTGGTCTCCAACTTTGAGCTCAACGTTGTGCCTCTCCTATAATGTAGATCGGCATGGGAGGTACGGAGGTACATTGCATATTAGGACACCTTGGATTAACATTCGGCTAATTGCATTAGTGGATGCTACAGGGTAGGCTGGACTCGCCTGATTGCAGGGTCCGTGCGCCCTTCCTTCCAACCAGATTTGGGTCAAACTTCTCGAAATGAAGATTATTCAGAGCAAGCTTTCCGTCGTCGCATCAACAACATCAAGGCTCCTTCTACGTGGCAGCCCTCACCAATTCCCGAGAGACGGCCCCTTCTTCGGCGCGCGCACATCCCCTTCCTTGTGCCCATTGATAGCACGATGAACGGCTTTCCAGGCCGCCACGCGCAGCCTGCACCGGTATGGCAGGAACATCATACCAATGATGGTCGAGCCTACTACTATAACAATGTTACCAAAGCGACGCAATGGACCAAGCCCGAGGAAATGATGTCGCCGGCAGAGGTTCGTCTCTTTTCTCCATCCCACGAACACGTTCAAGTTGCTAACCACAATTAATTACAGCGCGCTCTCGCCAACCAACCCTGGAAAGAATACACAGCCAAGGGTGGTCAAAAGTACTGGTACAATACGGAGACTAAGGAGAGCTCCTGGGAGATGCCTGATGTGTACAAAACCGCTCTTGGTTCAGGGTCAACCCCCGCTCCTGCGCAGACACCAGTGACACCCGCGACACCATCGTCATTCGGTGGAGGCTATGGAGGCTCATTCGATCAGGGGCGCGACCATCGCGATTCTTACACCGAGTCACGACAACTACCTGCCCCAAACGACCCCAAGGCTCAGATATTTGTGCCCGAAACGAATGATCCCGAATACGCGACAGTCGAGGAAGCCGAGGCTGCCTTCTCTAAGCTACTTCGTCGAAGTGGTGTTCAGCCAGACTGGACGTGGGAGCAGACCATTCGAGCCACAGCCCGCGATCCCCAGTTCCGCGCAATCAAAGACCCCAAAGATCGAAGAGACGCTTTTGAGAAGTTTTGCCAAGATGTTATCATCCAGGACAAGGAGCGTGCCAAGGAGCGGTTGGCTAAACTTCGAACTGATTTCGAGACCATGCTTAAGCGGCACCCCGAGATTACCCATTATACGCGCTGGAAGACTGCGCGCCCCATGATTGAGGGGGAAACCATTTTCCGGTCTACCAACGACGAGTCGGAGCGGCGCCAGCTCTTTGAAGAATACATTATTGGCTTGAAGAGAGCCCATGCCGAACAGCAGGCCTCTATGCGAAAGAGTGCCATCGACGGCCTGGTCGATCTTCTTCCCAAACTCAACCTGGAGCCCTATACTCGATGGTCTGATGCACAAGGAATCATTTCTACAACCCAACCGTTTCAAAGTGATGCCAAGTACCAGACTCTCAGTCAGCTCGACATGTTATCCGCCTTCCAAAACCATATGAAGGCCCTTGAGCGCGCGTTCAATGACTCTAAGCAGGAGGAGAAAACTCAGAAGTTCCGAAATGAGCGGAAAGCTAGAGATGGCTTCAAAGCACTATTGAACGAGCTCCGTGCCGACGGTAAGATCAATGCAGGCACTAAGTGGGCGCAAATCCACCCCTTGATTGAGAATGATCCAAGGTATCGAAATATGATGGGCCATGGCGGCTCAACACCACAAGAGCTCTTCTGGGATCTCGTAGAGGAGGAGGAGCGTGGGCTTCGTCAGCCGCGTAACCACGTTCTTGATGTTCTCGAGGTATGAACCCCAACTGCTATATTGAAAGAGTGAAGCTAATGATGTCAAATTTAGGACAAACGAATTGAACTCAACCCTAACAGCGATTTGGAAGAGTTTATATCCACGATGAAGGGTGATCGGCGCACGGCCGATATCAGCCGAGATGTTTTGAACCTCATTTTTGACCGGGTAAGACTCACCTTCCAGCCTCTTCCATTGATGAATTTCATGCAACTAACCAACAATTTAAAGCTACGTGAGAAACGTACCTCTAAGCGTGACGATCGCCGGGCAGTTGATGACCTACGGACGTTTATGAAACGAATGGAGCCACCTATTACTCTCAACGACTCTTATGAAAAGGTTAGACCCCGACTAATCAAAGCAGACGAGTTCCAGGCTGTTACGTCAGAGGAGTCTAGAAGATCCGCATTTGACAAACACATGCGTCGCCTTCGAGAGAAGGAGGAGGACGCCCACCGAAGGGACAGGCGCCGTGACCGTGCGTCTGTGGAGAGGGATCGCCGAGAGAGAGATCGGTCCAGAGGTGAGCGCTCTCATCGCAGCAGTGGCCGCCCTCGACGAAGCCGCAGCCCCGAAGCGGATGCCTATGAGGCAGACAGACGCAAAGCAATTGCGGAGCGTGAGCGAAACCACCGCAAATCCACTATGGCGGAGAATCTATTATCCACTGACCGTGGCCGTTTATCTCCTCCACCTCGCCGTGAGCGCGAGCGGGAGCGTGACCGAGACAGAGAGAGGGAGAGAGACAGAGACAGGGATTACGATCGCACCCCCCGCTCTCGCCGTGACGATGACTCGCATTATGATCGCGAGCGACGAGACAGAGAGGAGGAGCGAGAGCGACTCTACCGTCGGCGTGTTGACCGCAGCTCCATTGAGGAACTCCCATATGGTGACGAGCGACCTTCAGGATCAAGCTCTCGACGCCGTCGAACAGAAAATGAAGATGACTACGCTCGTAGAGATTCGCGAGATTCCAAGGTACGGGAAACATCCATTTGTTAACATTCTAAGAATAAGCCAATTGGTTGCTAACTGCTTGTAACAGAGGTTGAAACGGGAGCCATCGCGCGAGCGCACCCCTCAACGTGAAGCCCCAGTTCATACCAAGACTCCTCCTGCTAACCCACCACCAGCACGAGATGCAAGGTCCGGCAGTGAGGAAGGAGAAATTGAGGAATAGGCGCAGAGCGCAACCGTTTGCCCCACAACTCGAGAGAGCCAGAAGCTACTCGGCTTTTTTTGTCCGCCACCTCAGTACGTTCTGGCAAGCATTCACTCCACGGCTTGTTAGGTAGAGATGACATACAGTCCTGGCTACAGATTGGTCCTTGACCTATTCCTTCCCTTTTGCCTCTCCTCGATCACTCAAGTGGCCAAGGGATGGCCACTCATCCTCTTTTTTCGAGTTCAGTCCTTGAGAAGCAGATTTCGATTCCTCCTTGAGGCTGTTAGTTGGTATGTGTCTCTTTGTTTATCATGTCAGTGTGTCTCCTCCGAGAAAAGAGAAAAAACACCGCATGTGTGCTCTTCCCCATCCCCGGCGTGTAATCCCCATACCTAGTTATAGCCATGTTCAGCTGGCCTAGTCATAATTACCTCAATCAATCAAACCCGCATCGTCTTTTGACCTGTTGAAAATGCTCCTACCATTGTGCTGTGCTAGATGCGTTCCTTACATAAAACCTACACCGCCCGAGATTGCACATTTTCACAAAGATATTCTTGAATCTGCTCGTTCGTTTAACTGCAGCTACCTACATATATTTCAAAACAAATCGCCTCTTCCAAATCGCTCCCTACTTTGCAGGGAACGAGTGTGGCAGTCATCCTTCTTGATCCACTGTCCCTCAATCTGCGAGAATCCCAAGTGCTATTTGCTCGCCTCATCTAATGAGCAACACTTGTTAATCCAAGCCCAAGTGGGATGGAACCCTCGCAGGACCAGACAGCAGGGGATAGGCTGCCACGGCGAGCCCAGCTCGTCTGGCTCGTCATCCTCGCCCGGATCATCAATATCTAAGCCAGAACCGTGGGCGTGGCCCCCCACACGCTTCTGAAGCGTGGTTTTGTTTTGAACGCCCTTAACGCCGTGAGATGCATGATGATGGTGGTGGTGGTGGTGGTGGGAATTACTATCTCTATACTTGCCCTTTTCAAGAGCTCTTGTCGGGAGTATCCTCCAAGAAGAACTAAAAAAAACAGGTGGGTTAGTATGAGCAGTCAGCTATCAGTGTGTTTGCAGATTCACTTACGTAGTTGCCACCTAACTTCTGTTCCTGGTCAAGCTGCGAGCCCTGTTTGTTGATACGAGGGCGGTAGTTCACAGGGTCTCGGCGGAAGGTGACGTCAAGGTTCTTGAGGAAAGCGTTGCAACCAGTGAGAAGAGACTCAGGCTTGTTGGCGTGAGCATCAATACCAGGCTTGCCATCGAAGACAATGACACGATCAGCGAGGTACGTGGCCATGATGAAATCGTGCTCGACGATAAATGCCGTGCGCTTGGAGTGCATGATGAAGCGCTTGATGACACGGGCGGCGATAATACGCTGTTCGGAGTCGAGGTAGGCGGAAGGTTCGTCAATAAGGTAAATGTCGGCAGGCATGCCGAGAGATAGGACAATGGCAACACGCTGCAATTCACCACCGGACAAGTTCTTGACCTCCTGATCAATAAAGTCGTCGAGCTTCAGAGGCTTGACAACATCGGTCTGGAACTGGGGCGAAAGGAAGGCCTGCTTGATCTTCTTGAAGAAAAGCTGGCGGACTGTACCTTCAAACTTGGGCGTGATGGTCTGGGGCTTCATGCTAATTCTCATGTCGGGAACGGAGGCCTTGCTATCGGGCTTCAGGGCTCCGGCCAGGAGGCGACAGAAGGTGGTCTTCCCAGTTCCGTTCTCTCCCATCATGACAATAATTTCAGAGTCGGTAAAGTCACCAGGATCGATGCGAAGCCTGAAGTTGCCGAGGGTCTTCTCCATCTTAGGGTACTTGAAAGCACGAGATTTATCAATAGCAAATTCATCAGCGCTCTCAGCAATGCGGAAGGTTAGAGACTCGTCACGGAAACGCAGGTTTTCGGTGGGAATATGACCATCAAGGAAAATGTTGATACCTTCTCGAACAGAGTAGGGGAGGGTAACAACACCATAGACGGCGGGTCTTCCGTACAAGACGCAGATGTAGTCGGAAAGATAATCCAGAACAGACAAATCGTGCTCAACCACGATGATGTAGTCGTTGTCGCGGAGCAATGAACGGATGATTTGAGCTGCGCTCAATCTTTGCTTGACATCAAGATACGAAGAGGGCTCGTCAAACATGTAGACGTCGGCCTTCTGGACGCAGACAGTACCGATGGCGAAACGCTGAAGCTCACCACCAGAGAGCAAATTGATGTCACGGTCCATGATATGGTTCAACTCAAGTGTGTCGGCAACCTCCTGAGTATTACCAAGGGAAGCTCGGCTCTCGATAAGGTGGCGAACACTCTTCTGGGGGCCACGGACAGCCTTTGGAATCTGGTCGACATACTGGGGCTTGACCACTGCCTTGAGGTCATCTTCCAACAGCTTGGTGAAGTAGTCTTTTACCCAATGATTAGCACATTTAGATTATATCTTTAGTGCCCGATCTCAACTTACTCTGCAGTTCAGAACCTCGGAAATACTTGATAACATCTTCCCAGTCAGGAGGGTTGTCGAAACGGCCCAGGTTGGGCTTGAGCTTTCCACTGAGAATCTTCAAAGCAGTACTCTTGCCGATACCGTTGGTTCCGACAAGACCAAGAACCTGTCCGGGGCGGGGCATAGGAAGCCGGTGCAGCTTGAAGCTGTTGGGGCCATATCGATGGGTAACTTGGCTTTCGAGGTTGGTGGGAAGGTTGATGATGGTAATGGCATCGAATGGGCACTTCTTGGGGCAGATACCGCAACCAATACAGAGCGACTCGGAGATGAAGGCGAGGCGGGATTCGGGCGCAACTTCAATGCAGAGCTTGCCACTACGGACGACTGGGCAGGATTTCTTGCATTCCTGGCGACACTTTCGGGGGCGACACTGTCCACAAAGAAGGTTTGTCAGAACTTATTCTTGATTCGTGGTGTTGGCGATGCAGATAGATGGTGGGGTTATAGTGTTGTGTGAGGCGGGGTAGATTTTTTCAAGATGGCCAAGGTAGGCCAAAAAGCAAGGGTATTCAGGTATATGAGCGGTCTTGACGAACCTTGTCGCTATTGACAATGGCGATACTACATTATAGAAGAAATCCATATTAGCAGGAACCCTTGGGCGAAAAAAAAACCATATCGCGGCTAGCATCATACCGTGTAAGCTTGTCGGACATGACGGCGGTATTGGCGTGTGCTGTGGACACAAAAAATTGTCGGAGGGGTTATTCGAGCGGCGGTATTTCAGCTCGCGATCCCAGCGTCGCCCTTCTGTCAAGCTCAAGAGCCTGGTTCAGTTGGAATGGGAAATTCGCACGCAGGCGCGTTCGACGGCGCAGACGGACGGATATTGTGCGAGTTGGATCGGGGGAGAAACAATGGTGGGCAGGGAAAAAAGATGAGGATTGTGGTGTTGCGCCCAATGATGGAGGCAGCGAGTGTGCGGTCATCAATTTTTCCTGTGCTCTGAATCGTCCACTTTTGGCGGGGCAGGGCATTGAGACTTGGGCAGGTGCTAATTACAGGTGCAGGTGGAGGCATAAGCATGGGCGGGAGCCATTGACACTGGCATCTACGGACGTGTTACCTACGTGGGTAGCCGGTGTCTTGACATGAGATGAGGTAGGTAGCCGTTATGACGGGCTGCTGCAGTGGCAGATACACAGAACTGTCTTGGGGTTACGGCGAGTTGCCATCATGCTGAGGTGCAAGGGAGCCTGCCTCTCTTTGATGGTTGAATCTGCAAGGTACAAAGGTGGATTGGGTATCGATAAGAACTGGGTACCTGTTTCGTATCGTCATTGTACCTCCCAGCATGGTCGTACAGCGCTGGAGTGCCTCACCTACCTGGGTGGGAAGAAAGTGGAAGTGGCCATCTCTCGAAGAATGGACCCCAGAACCATGTGCTAGCCCAGGATTACCAGGATCACAGAGCTGTGCGCATCTGTAGCAGAAAGATGTTGCGATTCGGTCGGAGGATGTCTGGGGCCTTCCAAATACCTACGCTCTGCTATGACATGGTTTGATTGCTAGTTGGCTAGTAGGTCATAGACACAAGCAAATGGGCGGATGACAAACAGTGACCGCTAAGCCTGCCCACCATGAAGAATCGTACTTCTGGTGAGCTTAGGTTATCATACTTCTCTTTCCTAGCACAAGTGATAGATATTGTTAATTCCAGACAACAATAGGTAATTGCACGATCTTTAAAGGCATTATCTCTAGATGTTGTGGCCCATATTAGAAAGTTGAGTTTTCTGGGGAACATCTTTGCAGTGCCTGTTTTCCTGGCACCCACTTGACAGGGTCTCATTAGTTCCCATTCGAGCCAGTGGATTTTGCCGTGTGCTTGGGCCATATTGTCTGGAGTGGCCAAGCCTGGCTTTATTCGTTTGCAGGTCAGGTAAACAATCCGTCGTGAATAGGGAGCTCTCGCTGGCACTTGTATACAATGTGATTAAAGTAGAAGGACGTGTGAGTAGTCGCCCATGTTGGGTAGGCATTTACATTAATTGCAAATGGATTGAGAATCCTTCGTGAATAATGATCAATCGCAAACCTACTACTAATTTGAACGTAAACAATATGAGGAACATCCTTCAATGACGGTATCTGTGCCTGAATTACTGATACGAACAGGAAATCGCAGAGAAGAATGGCAAGGATGGCCAAAACTACAATACCAGCATTCATAAACACGCGAGAAACAATAGCAGCAAATGGCTGAATAGCAGCCGTCTATAGGGTAGCTCATGTGTACCCCCATTCTACACGGTACACGAACGATCGGCAGTGGCTGCATCCCGTCACCTGCTGGGCGAGGGCGGAAATGCAGGAGCATCATTGCCTTTCAAAAGGGTTTGAATAGGATCCAAGCTTTGTAGATATATCGCATGTTATCCAGGCGCCCAGTTGCCCAGCCTCAAGAAACCGAAACTTACTTGCCGACTAGAGTTGCCCTGCTCTTCACGTCGCCAATCACGTGACCAAATTAGTTGGGTCTGGGAGAGCTTGT